AAGAACTTACCAAACGCGAGAATGTACCAAACAGAAGAAAAATGCGCTGGTGCAAAGTTAGCATTAAAACCACCATGTGATGATAAACGTAGAAAAAAGTGTATGACAAAGCTTACAGAAGAAATTTGAACAGGTATCCACGATCAGTACGTAAATTTAAGTTGGGAGTAAAGAGGGTTATTTATAAAAGCCATTATATACTGTAAAAACACGAACAAAAAACATGCGAGAGTGTCGTGGAACACTGGGTTGGAAGGAAGTTCCTTTCGTAATATATTATTATTGATAAACGTATTATATTATTGATTAACAAATACAAATAAATGAATTACTAGCGTCTATTAAAATGAACAGTCATTTAAAATAAAATAATATTTCTTTCATGGCAAGATAAGAAAAAGTGCGAGGGAGATTTCATTATTAAATTAGACAAAAACATAAGTAAAGAACATATTCAAAGTTCAAGTCCGACAGTATCACATTATCGCCGCGAACATTAGTTTTATTTACCCGGTGACTTAAATATTACGATGATGTGCCAATATTTTATAGAGAAATAGGTATACTAATAAGCAGATATCCCTCGAGACATATCGCAAGGTTGTAAACGAAATAAACGTTTGCTTTGGTCACCTCGGTTATGAGAAATGCGAGTAGTATGCTCTACATAATTCTCATAATGAATGGTCTCAAGAAAGTTGTGAACTGTGTATTCAATATGAAAAACCAAGTTACGCTACACACAAACTAGAGAAAAATACCAAAACGACAAGGAAGCATTTTCTACCGACAGCGATTATATTTACTTTCCTAAAGCTGTGATTATATGATTTGAGTAAAAGAAAACACTTCAAGTGGTCTGAAAATATTTATTTTTTGCCGACTTCCAAAAAGGAGACGGTACTCAATTCGACGCGTATGTTTTTTTTTATGTGTGTTACTTCATAACTTTTTACTGGGTGGACCGATTTCGATGATTCTTTTTTTATATGAAAGCTGATACGTCTCGTGTGGTCCCATATGAATTTGATCAAGGTCAGACCAATAGTTTTTGAGTTATTCTTAATAACTTATATTAAAGTCGGCTCTACAAAATTTTTAATTATTAGGGATTAAAGTGATGTTTTTGTAACATGTTTCTCAACAGTTTCTTTTATAAATCTGTATTTTATATGTAATAATTTTGTTTCAATCATTTTTCATATAAATTTATAATATTCTTGCAATCAACCACCGTTGTATTGTGTATGTTTAAAATATTTTACTAATGAAAACCGCAACAACTAAGACATTTATTGCATTTATGGTTCGAAGAAACAAGATATACAGTCTATGCTCTAATCTAAAGAGCAATTTGTCGGTTTACTAACAATAACTGCAATAAGTAGTCTACTTATTGCGGTTATGATTAGGCACGTTCTATCAAAACAATTAATAGTCCTAAAGATAAATACATTATTGTGTTTTAATGCATATATAAATGTATATAAAAATATAATATACTACAAAGAATTCTGCATCATTTTATCTGTCGTATAGTAAAAGTTTCAAGTCACTTGCTATCATAGTTACAAAGATACACACAAAACAAAAATAAAATCTTTAACTGCGATTATCTCGAAAGTAGCCTAAACTTAGTTATTGCACTCTTCGTAAGAACGGCAGTAATGTCTTCGCGTAAATATAAGAATATCGGTACAATTTATTTTAGGAATAGTACTAGGCAAGCATAGATTTGCAAGAAGCAGTAGAATAGTGATAGTTTTAAAATTTTGTACACTACTTCTGTTGACTTCTATTCGCTTGATACTCCTGTGCGCAATCAAACAAAGATGGAATATTTTGTCAGTTCGATGCCATTGATCGATTGGTGTGGTAGCTTAGGTGATCGACAGATACTGGTCGATAAAATATTTTTCAATCATCGATCGACAATTAATCGACGTGGTTGCGGGCTCATCATCAGTATCTTTCAAAATGTATACAGAAAAGCACAATAGAGTAAGAGTAGACTAACTCATTCTACCATCGATCGATCGGTGTTGTAGAAACTATCTATCGACGTCAACTAATCCATTCTACGGTCGATCAATGCCATCGATCGATTGGCTGAGTCCCATCGGAGGCTGGCAGCCATTTCCGCAGGACAGAATTTTAGTATGCGCAAGTTGAGGTGGACGCTTTAATTATATATTTTGGCTCAGGAGTATCAGGCGAACAGAAGTCATTGTAATATAGTGTACAAAATTAATAACTATGACCATCCTAGTACCTCTTCAGTTTATGCTTGCCTAGTACTATTCCTAAAATAAACTACCAAAGTACCCTTAATCGACAAGCGTGAATGCGTTGATTTAATATTATGGATGTGAAAGAACCGAAAGAGGTACCTATTGTCTTTTATTTTAGTATGCGCAAATCTCCCCTCGGAAAAAATGACACAGTTCTGTATCGGGAAAAACGCAATGGCTATACATACTCCCCTCCGGTCCGCTGGTAACTCGTGTTGATCTATGCAAAATACAGTTTTTATTAAACTGCCTTGTTAAATTTTAAGTAGTTTTTGTTCTCTTCCTTTGCATTTATGTTTGTCGGATTTAGCGATAGGCAAAGCGACGATATGCGTCACATCACATATGTTTCAATATACACGCGTTCGGCTCTAAAATATTATATATTCTAAGATCTACACCGTTAACAACTTTATTCGTGGGCTTAAGCGACGTCTTTTTTTTTTGCGTCTATAACATTACCTATTTACCTACACAAGCTCTAAGCGACTTAAAATATAAAAACTTATATTCATCATACATAATAAGTAATTTATTCAATCATTTTCTACTTTTACCACGAAACTCTCAGTGGCAGCCTGGAGTGAGGAGGTTGGTCCTGCGCCTGATCTCTCGGTCGTGTTGGATTGCCGTAACAACGGACTATGAGAGCGAGGCAATAGAGATTGCACCTGTGTTCGCGCACAAACTCGTGCACTATAATCCTGTCTTGCGCAGATCACTAGTCAGCATTAAATTCACTGTGTGGTAGGTCTCCTTTACTGCCTAGAAGTCCGTCTAGGCAGGTATAGATATTCTATTTCACGATGAAGGTTTTGCCTTGATTGTAGTAGTGACGTGTGCCGACAGGCGCGTTTGTGTGTGTAACTGCGATTCGTTCGACTCGCGATCGCGACTGAGCGCTACGCACACTAACACAATGTATATGTGCACGGCTAACACAACCAGTCAAACCTTCATCGTGAAATGGTATAACTATACCACCCTCTTACCTATTTTTGCCGCCAAATAGCAGTGCTTGCACTGCTGTGCCCTGGTGTGAAAGGTAGACTGAAGGTTCATCAGGTGGATCGTAAGCTCGTTTGTCACCTGTTTATTTTATTTTTTAACCGATTCGTTGCGTCACCGATTTTCGACAACTTTTAGCTGTGGCGGCGAACAAATATTTCATGACACGCCTCTTGTGCCATCAGCCATGTGTAAAAGTAATGCTCTTCTTTATGCTTTTTTCACTTGTTTAGACTTAATTAATTTTAGTTGACATCAAACATCGGTTACAAACGGAAGGATACTTGTTTTTAGTGGGTAACTACGTGTACGTTTGAAATTCAGAGTGACTTTTTTTTATGCAGAGATTACAAACCTTTTGTACTATTTTTTGTTTTATAAAAAAATCATTTATATAAGTAGGTACAGCTAATTCACCATGGAAAACCTTGGTTTTTATTAAATTAAATTTCACCTAATAACAACATTTGTAAATATCAAACAATCAAAAACCTTATTTTGGAAAAAAATAGGTTTATTATTCATTGATATTTACAAAGGTTAAATATTATTTAATGTTATACAAATGTAAAAGTAAGGTCGAATTGAAAACGTCTAATTAGTAAGAATAACTAAACAAGTGTTATCAAAAGGAAAAATATGCCGACGCTATACGGCGGCGGATTGAAGAAAGACTATTTATTAGCGAACTTTTTTATGCAGGAACGGTTTCGAACTGTTTCAAGCAAAAATAAACCTTATAACATATCACAAGAGCACATGGTACTTCGTAGGTCTATTCGGCCATATGACAGTAATAAGACGGCAGTTCAACCATTTTAAGTAAAACTAAACGCATTGTTTTTTTTAACAGGAGACTTGTTTTCCACAAATTTATTTACAACTTGAATTTGTGAGCGATCGCAATGAGTGCTATTATTTGTTACTTATTAGACTATTTTTCCACAACATGATTTAAAACCCACAAAGTAAAAAGAGTACTATGTACAAGTTAAAAAAAGGTTATCAACCCCTAAAAATTTCAAATTTTCAAAATATCCAGAAACGAAGCTGTAGGCATGAATTACTTGCAAAATAATGAATATTTTGCTCTGGATAAATCTTCCAAAAAAGCAGTTTGAGCGAGTTACGTTTTTTAAAAAGACACGACTCGCGTGTCACGCTACACACAAAAATAATCGATGACCCGCCTGACGTGTCATCCGCACTGAACCGGCTAAATAGACTGGTCGTATGTGTGGCTGGCTATGTATGTAAAACGCCTTGATGACACTGGCGCCAAAATCATTAAACTTAAAAAAAAAGTCTTCACGGGACGCCCGGTAGATGTGAAACATTATAGTTGATGGTAGAATTTATATAAATATACTATATTCGAATAACAAGGCACACGCAGTACAAAACACGCAGAGAAGCAACTAAGTGTATAGTATATATTATGCAGAGTGATTACGTAGATGGAAGATGACGGCATAACAGAACGTCATGTCGTTTGGTTTTACTGCCAAGGCGCGCCAAGTTGACGTTCCACATCAAAACTTATAACTAAAGACGTCCTCGTAACATAGTAGATTTCTTATATTTCCATGTCCACGTAAAGTTTCAGGCGAAAGCCTGCTTGAAATGAAACTCACTATAAAAGTTTAATTATATTTAATTTATTATAAATCTCGATGACGTTGAATTCGAAGCCGAGTGCGTTTAAGCGGCAACAACGTCCTGCACGCTGTCATCGTCTGAAGCCAATAAAAAAACAATTGTTATGTTGAGCCATATATATACAACGTGCCGCTTCAATGGTGACTTTAACACACAGGTAGGGCTAGTGCCCATTAATCATAAATAATTTTGATAGGTCAAAATAATTCGTAAATTGAAAAGGTTTTTTTTTCAAACAAACTTAATAATAAAAAAGTAACTAAAATTAGCATCAGCCTTGTTGTATTTGTCATTACCATCACAAGTTTACACAAGCACTAATAACAAAAAAAAAAATATAAATACAAATCTAGTAGGCACGTTTACACCTCTTGCGATACGGACGTTTTTATTTGTGTTTTTTTTTTTTATAGGATCGAGTGACAAAGGAACGCACAGTCCACACAATGCAGATGCGTTGTCACCCGTGAGGACTAAGATGGAATGCCTCGTTTCCAGCAAAAAGTGTCTCCCCGGTTCTCTACACTCACCATACGAAACAGCAATTGTTAAGCTGCATTTTACGCTGGTATTCTGTGAGAGCGTGGTACTTTCCAGGTCGAGAAGAACCATTCGCGTTACAACTATACTACTAATATAGCTGCAGCATGGCTCTACTACATATAAAAATACTATATTATAATGTATGAACATCTCTTATGGAGACTTAGTACGATGTGTTCTGGTTTTTCTCTAGCAAAGACTAAAATAATTACGCAAGGGCAATGAATAGTGCTGATAATGACTGTGTAGGAATATTTTTTGGTTTTTATCACCGTGTAGTGGCAGTGTAGAAATATCCATTATTCCATAACGTCCCATGGGTGTCGGTGAAAGGCGACAAAGTACTCGTACGAGGGAAACAAACCAGGATGTGAAGCAGTGACCTTCTAATAACTAAAAATTTTAAAAGAAGTAGTCGCCAACCCCACTGTCAAGTGTGGTAACTGTGGAAAAATCCCTAGACCAAGCGACCTTCAGCAGTGGAATATAGGCTGTAATTAAAATTGTTTACCTAAAATGATTTAGCAAAGACTAAAATGATGTAAGGACACTGAACATCTCTGATGGAGATCTTATGATCAGTTTTATATTTTTAGCAAAGACTAAATGATCTGAGGACAGTCAACATGCATAATAGAGACTTAGTGTCAAAGTTCTGAAATAGAGACCCTTATCGTCAGTGTCCATGGGCTCCGGAGTCTCCTGGTAAGCGGGTGCCAGGGGTGACACGACCACTCCGTCCCACACAGTGATCTCAGTGGAGATGTCTTTACCGCCTTCAAAAGGCTGAAGCCCGAGCACGTAACGGTGACCACCTCGGGCTACTACACGAAGTAATCTGTGGAAAATTAATGAGTGATTTATCTTTATAGAATAAGGGTGACAAACGTGCACACACTCTACCTGATGGTAAGTGGATGCTGTGGCTACATCTTCCCTGGATTTAGAATCAAAATGCAGATGCGTAGTCACCCCTGATGACAAAGGGTGCGTACAGATTAAGTAACATGTTGTGTAACTTGTGTTTTATAACACATCCACATTATGTTACATTGTTTTTCAACATTGTAACATATAACAATGCTGTACACATTAGAATAACAATACAATATAACAATTTTTTTTATAGGATCGAGTGACTAACGAGCACACAGTCCACCTGATGGTAAGTGGTTGCTGTGGCCCATAGACATCTACATTTATCCTCAATAAAGATATAGAATGCTATATGATAATGTGGTTTGCCGTTCTGCAGTGTTATTCACAATGTAAAAGCTTGTAATAATAAAAATATCATAAAAACAAATTCTTTTACCTCTGGAATACCCGCCCCTCTTTTGTAGAGCGAACCTTATTTTTATCCTTTAAAAAATACGTATAAGTTATATAACGTTTGTGTAATGTTAAATAACACGTTTTATAACATTCAGCCTCCATATTACTGAAACATGTTATATAACAACGTTTTATTACATAATAAGTCTGGTGCTGTCTCTATCACTTTAAGTCAAAGTGACTGTGACACCACGAGACTTGACAACATCTTAAAATTGAGTAGCGTTTGAGTATTTGGCCAATAGACATCTACATCTACCCTCGAATAAGAATCAAAATGAAGATCTACTTTAGTGGTATACCTCGGTAGTAGGACCCTTTTTGTATCTAGGAGTCTCATGGTGGGAGGGTGGGATGTGCTCTTCAAACTAGCTAATACATTTTGAACATGTTTAATTTAAACTAAGTCACTGCGCTCATATCATGGTGTGGGTGTCGTAAGAGGCGACAGAGGGAAACAAATCAGGGAGATAGGCAGTAGCGCCTTTCTAATAGCAATTAAAAATAAAAAAACTGCGGTTACCAACCCGCTTGCTAAGCATGACAACTATGGCAAATATCCCCCCCTCCTATGAATCAATCTACGGGAGAGGCTTATGTTTTGCAGTGGACTTTTAATAGGCTGTAATGGTAACATATATTACATTACATATTATATAGACTCAAATTTTCAATTTCAACAAACGCATTGTTGTTAAGTCTCGCGGTGTCACAGTCGCCTTGATTTAAATTTAAAGTGACAGAGACAGCACGAGACTAAACTACATCTGATAGTTGAATAACATTTGAGTATTTGGCCATACAGTATATAACTAATATTAGGTAACACTGTATACTGTATTCTAACTTATTTTCTCGCAGGCTAAATCCAATCCAATTGATGCATATATTTGTTGTGTTAGTGTCGCTTTTTCGTTTCATCGAATTTCTAAAAAAGTTTTCACTGCAAAAGTATGGTATGGTATGAGCGGTGGTGCGATATGAGAGTTCATGTGCTATACAGGGTTATTTTTCAAAGACTAGCCAAATTTAATAATCAAGTTCAAAATATAAATACTGATATACGCTTTTTGCAGTTTTTAAAAGTACGCGTAAATAAGGATTTTACATTTATTTCAAAATATCCGAAATTGAATGTGATTTATGGGCAACAACGGCGCGCGCTCGTGTGTGTACGAGTCAATGCTTTTGCCTACTATTTACTTCCTTAATGACACGCTCAATACTATGATTCCAATTTTCCCTTTATACTTTAAACGGGTTTAGGTACGTCATAATAAATAAATTCTTTTTGTTCAATTTTAACGGCGTGTGAAATGGATGCAAATAAAAATTACACTCAATGAATTAAATATATTTTTTTACTCCCACACAAAAACAGTTCGAAATACAAGTTTAGACTACAGAGCGAGGGAAAGAGGTGGAGAATAAATGTTAATAATTAGTTGTAGAAAAGATAGCTGAGCTAAGGAATCCGATGATAGGTTGGCGCGATTTAAATAACGCTTGCGTCCAGCATTGAGAGCGTTTAAAACCGGACGGGCTGGTTAATATGCAAAATGATAAGCAGTGCGAATAGTGCAGAGTAATGTCGACCTCAGCCAGCTCGAACATCGCGTCGACGCGTATGCCGTTCGGCGTAGAACGACGTAATTAACATAATTTTACTACTTAAATATGCAATCACTCAAAATTAAACTAACCATTCACAAAAATGTTTTCGAGGTGGACCATCGTTATTACTGAATAACCACCTCGAGCACTTCCATGTGACGGAGTGGTGAATTGTCCAAAGTCTAAAAGACTTTGGTTAGCTGCAAAAATTGTTCTCCGATTGGTGGTACACGTGCCTTAATTCTTTGTCTTTACAAATACGGTAAACGCTGCAATATTGCACCGTTTCATAGTACCCGCGGTTCGAATATTTTTGTTACGTCCTTGGTAACAAAATGTACGTAATGAGGTCACGGTAAACACTGCCAGCTGTTGGCTTTGCTGACCAAGTGCACGCAGGTACTAAGCGATGTAACGGTAAATAAAAAAAAGAGCGGGAAAGATGCGCTACAAGGTACCCTTACGAATGTGTGCGTGTATAAAATAGTAAACGTTACGTATTTTGAATTTAAGAGATAATAATGACAATATGTTTGAGATTTTTTTAATTAATTTTTCTTCACCATTTGCCTATATTACTTATACTGAATCTTCTCTGCAAATTTGGCCGGTAATTGCAAAATAGCCCTGTATATTGTGTGTGCGTGTACTTACGTCTGTGCCGTGGCCGCGGCGTGGTCCTGTGCGGCGAGGTCTAGCGCAGTATGGGCTCGGGCGTGGGCCCCCTCGCAGGGGTCGGGCAGCCCCGCGCAGCCCGGCAGGAACAGCCCGCCCGCCACCAGCGACAGCGCGCGCCTGCATCACCACCACCGTCGCCACCGTTACCAAACTCACCACTTCCCGACACCACCCACCGCGCCAAAGGTGTAGTGCCGCAAGTGTACAACTTATACAGAGCCTCTTGTACGAACTTACAGTTATATATGTATATGGTCATTGTTTAGATATAAAATCTGACCAAAGGTCCATTTTTGGCCAAAGCCGAATCCGATTAATAACTTTTGGCACTACCAACCACACCAGAGGTATGACTTCTATATATATTAGTCGTGTTTCGGCTTGTTTTATGATCTTTTTTTTATATAGGATAAGGTGACAAACGAGCACACAGTCCACCTGATGCTGAAGTGGTTGCTGTGACCCATAGACATCTACATCTATCCTCGTCACGTTGATAAAGTGCGCACATAACTAATGACATTGTTTTCTAAGCCACATTAAACAAAAACATTGTTAGATTGTAGAAAACGTGTCGCAGTTTGCAAAACAAAGAAGTAGTCTTCTTACCCGCTCGCACTAGTGCACAATGTATTAAGGCCACAGAGGCGATCCTGGTCAATATGAGGTGTATACTATATTTTTACAGCTCCATTACATGATTCCTTTGTCTTTACTTCTATTGGACATATTTGTTCTAAACTGGATTCGAATATACGACCCAGACTCAGTCTAATCACAACACCTGCGGTAAGTAAAAGCCAAGCATGGAGGCAAGTAATCTATGGAGGAGACAAAATACTTAATAGACTGTAATGAAACTCTCATTACAAATGATTACAAAACATACAAATGTGAACTTTAATAACTTGAGAATTAACTCGGTTTTCGGACCACAAGTCCTAAAACTATCTTAGTTGCAATAGAAATAAAACTTTTTATGATGGGAATTATGTTGAAAAATGCAAATCAATAAAAAAATTCCTGCTCCGCGATCATGCTTTAGTAGGGGAGCCTCTTTTAGTTTATAATTTATTTTAATTTTTGAAATCAATTTGAAGTATGTTCTACAGTATTCGCACCTGAAAGCCACATTGATGGGCAGCGCCTGCCTCGCTGGGTTGTTCATGATGCAGTGGTGAGCCAGCAGGTCTATCATCCAAGGTGTCAGCGGTTCTAGTCCCGCGTGCCGAGAGCACATGTCTCGAAGCAGACGGATTAGTACCTGGAAAAGATTGTGCATCATAAAATTTTATATTTAGTTTTTTTTTTTTTACTGGATAGTGGTAGTAATAGCATATCGTCCCGTGGGTGTCGTAAGAGATGACAGAGGGAAATTAATCAGGAGATGGGTTGCAGCCAGAAATAATGTGGATGCATCAGTAGCCTAACGGCAGGGCGAGGACCGCGAACTCGAAAGGTCGTGTGTTCGAATCCGCCATTCGACTACTATCGTGAACCACTTCTAGCACGAGCATTTTAAGCTTACCAGAAGAAATTAAAGCGAATATTAGTAATATTTAGCATTACTAGTATTTAAAAATAATATAAAAGTGTGGTTGTCAACACACCTGCCAATGTGGCAATTATAGCAAATATTCCCACCTATGTACAATGTATGGGGGAGGCCAACATTCAGCAGTAGACTTTGGTACCAATGCTGAACATCACCAACCATCAAAGGCCATAAAATGATTCCAGTCTTTTTCCATAGTTACCTCTTACGACACCTACAGAATGATATAATATGATAGATATGCCACCATCACATAAAAAAGATATATATCTCACCTTAATTGAAGAGTGATGCGCGTTCTCCTCGAACCATCTGCTGTGACGGATTGCTGCCAAGTGGCTACTGATGATTTTGTAGTCCAAATGCACCTGGATATTATAAGTAAGCATTTTATAATATATTATTATTTAGGTATTTCTATAGTATTCTCTTTAGGGATGTGTTAATAAATTAATAATAATATAATATACAGTGAAACCTGGATAACTGGGACACCTTAAGGGATCTGCAAATTTGTCTCACACCTGGATAACTGGGACACCTTACGGGAACTGCAAATTTGTCTCACACCTGGATAACTGGGACACCTGAAGGGACCTGCAAATTTGTCTCACACCTGGATAAGTGGGACACCTTAAGGGAACTGCAAATTTGTCTCACACCTGGATAACTGGGACACCTTAAGGGACCTGCAAATTTGTCTCACACCTGGATAACTGGGACACCTTAAGGGACCTGCAAATTTGTCTCACACCTGGATAACTGGGACACCTTAAGGGACCTGCAAATTTGTCTCACACCTGGATAACTGGGACACCTTACGGGAACTGCAAATTTGTCTCACACCTGGATAACTGGGACACCTGAAGGGACCTGCAAATTTGTCTCACACCTGGATAAGTGGGACACCTTAAGGGAACTGCAAATTTGTCTCACACCTGGATAACTGGGACACCTTAAGGGACCTGCAAATTTGTCTCACAAAGAGGTATTCCACTTACCCAGTGTCTTAGATATCCAGGTATAAATAAATATCTGTCTCATTTACAGAGGGTTCAATTATAGAGTTCAAAATAGTGGTTATTTAAGTTATAGATGTGCAATTATTCAATAAATAATTTTTTACCAACTTTAATAAAATAGACTTCTGCAAAGTAACACCTGATTCTATTAATTAAACAAAGTTGAAACAAGCAATTGAGACTTACATCTTATAGCCTGTATCCTGCTATACCTTTCTAGTTTCTCTTTTTGCAGTTAATAAAATGCAAGGCAAGGATTGAACCCCGATCGCTCGTGTACTGTCAAATTTACTCCCTATGGATAGGGTAATGGCGCAGAGGTCAAATTTTTCGATGGGAAAAATGTTTAAAAGTTTTTTTTATCAAATTAGGGTGACAACTGAGCACACAGTCCACCTGATGATAAGTGGATGCTGTGGCCCATAGACATCTACATTTATCCTCTATTAAAAATCAAAATGGAATGCCCTGTTTCCAGTAAAAAGATTCTACGGTTCTCTACACTTACCAAACCAAACACTATTTATGCTGGTATTCTGAGAGTGCGTCGTCATACCCCGGTCGAGCCACTCCAATGTGTGGTACAACCATAATATAGCTGCGGTGTGGCTCTACCATGTGAGATATTCATAAAATAAATCAGAGAACAGAAATGAATTTACACGACAATGTTTTGTAAATTATCTAATACCTCGGGCTCCAACTTCCTGAGGTTCTGGTGCAGTGTGGTCACTAGCACCCGCACTGCAGCTTGTGGCGCGGTCACGGTGAAGCCACGCTCGTTGCACGTCGAAGTTACTGTCCCGGTGCCCTCCGCCCGGGTTAACTTGTTTACCTCCTCATTCACCTGGTGATGAAGTATTTTTTATAAAACGTTGCCCCCACACTAAGATTTCCTCCTGTATCGTGGAGGCAGTTTACACACATAAATTGCACTAAGACAAACATCCATCCAATCATATTTTTCTAGTGCGGGATCCTAAACTGCAGCCCTCGGCACTGGAACTCATTGCTAAGTCATTGCACTACGAAGCCGTCAAATCATCAGCGGACCAACAGTCATATTGTCAGTGATAAATTTAACGCAAAAATAAACCTGCGACATCATCCGCGTAAAACTTAACAAAAAAAAAACGGAAATCAATAATATAGATCTTTCGGCAAGTAGCCCAATTATCAAAAAACGTCTCAAAAACTGAAAATGTTTACAAATAAAAGTACATTACATGTCGACCCTGTCAGACAGTGCACAGCAACAATGCACGCGCATCGCCACAGCCTGCAAAATTATTTTAATTAAAATAAAAAGTAATTTACTGAATTGAGAAAATACCTGACAAGACAAGAAAACTATAATATGACATAATATATAAGAAAAGATCACAATAATAAAGGTTGCATATTTTTTTTTAAATTATTTAAAAAGATAATAATAATAAGCTTTAGGCTTTGGTGCGTTTCGCTGGTGGCGAGACGACAGCGTCGCCACATCAACACACCACACCAATAATGTAGGAAAGTGGCTCACAACATAAATGCCATAAAGATGTTATGGCTTATGTTGTGCAAACATAAAATATTCTAATAGGCAAAGGGGACCAGCGACAAAGGTGTGAGACGTCTGATACTGCAATAGTTCATACATATGCAAGTGTGAAAAAAGTATATTTTCCATAGAATAGGAGTGCTAATAAAGAACTTTGGATGACAGGAGTGTACTGTAAGGTTACATTTCCTCTAATACCCCAGTATATGTAAATATTTTACAAAATACATTGTTTTCTAATCCTTGCCTTACTGATATTACCTTGTTAGACAGTCCCTCAACAGCCTCTTTTGTGGGTAAAGTTTTCATAATAACAACAATATCTGCTACATTCTTTCCTGCCATCATTGTGCCTTTCTTGTACGAGCCAACTTGTCGAACTTCTTCTAATTGCTGAAATAATCAACATTTTGATTAAAAAAAATTAAGACAATGCCTGAGACTTACAAGACAAACGAACCCACAGTGCACCTGATGGTAAGTGGATGCTGTGGCCCGTTGACATCTACATTTATCTTCAATTAAGAATCAAAATGCAGATACATTGTCACCCCTGAAGACTAAGATGAAATGCCTCATTTTCAGTAAAAAGGTTCTCCAGTTCTCTACACTCACCACACGAAACAGCAGCAATGAGCTGCTGTGAGTGTGACCCATTCGTGCTACAACCGTAATTTAGCTTCAGCATGACTCAATCACGTAAGACACTATAATGAACTACCTCATTGTCATAAAAATAATTAAAGTTCATTTAATTACTTACACAAGCTGCAAAATCACCCGGAGCAACAACTAGATTATCTAGCACTGTCTGTAGCTTTGTGACCAGAGCCAACACGGCAGCTTGTTCTGATGGTGTAGGGCATAATTCAGAATGCCTTTTAAGAAGTGCCTGTAAGATAAAAAAAGATTACTAGTCATATTTAATGATTATATGATATTATTGCCCATATACCCTCACTTCAGAAGTTATTATGAATAATTATTTATTATTTATTCTTTGTAATTTTCTGAAGATGGTTTTTACTTTCACTAAGTACTGTGACTATGTATGTAGTGGCGATGTTAGAATATCCACTAGGCCATATAATCCCATATTGTAAGAGGGGACAGAAGATAACAAAACAGGAGTTGGGTAGCACTATCTTCGGCTTAGCTTTCCATTGACGTCCGTCGTGTTGGCTGTTGATACATATTTTTACAGAAAAGTTACACTATTATAAGCACGCACACAAAGTTTCAATGTGCGGAAACGCATAATTTTTGAGACAAAAATGATTGAAAATCAATTATTCTTGCAATGTTTATGTCTAATCCTACCTGAAAACTAGCGTCATTTTGTAATGTCATTGTCGTCGTCAGTAGGGATGCCGATTCTATCCGAAAAAGGTCGATTTTTATATCGATTCAAATCGTAAGCTGATGTATCAACTCACAAAAAATCGATTTCTAAGATATCTATATTTTTTTCATGTTTGCATTTATAATGTAAATATAAATCCATTTTATGAAAAACAAGAAAGATACCGCAATAAATGATCTCTTATTGTAAATTTGTTTTATTTTAACAGTACCTATTGGGGCAGATAACAAATAAAATAGGTTAGGTACAACTTATGTCAAAGAACCGAATTGATTGACCCTGACTCCACCTGGTACGAGTCTGTCCTACCTCTAGAGTGGTTTTATAGATCCGGAGGCCTGTAGGGGGAGCAGCCTAGAGAGCCTAGCAGCCGTAGAGGCTGCTCTTCCCGCAGCGCTAGAGATGTAGCAGTCTCAAAATAGATACAGAAATCCTTCTGAATCAGTCCCCTTATTTTTTTATGATGAAAGGAGTTTTTTTCTCATAAAATAGATTTGTATTTACATTATAAATGCAAACATGAAAAAAAAATAGATATTTTAGAAATCCATTTTTTGGGAATCGATACATCAGCTTATAATTCAAATCTATTTAAAAAAAATCGATCTTTTTCAGAAAGAATCTACATCCCTACTGACAATAACAATAAAAGATGGTGTCAGTTTTAGGGTAGGAATTGACATAAATATATATACCTAGTCAGGTCATAAATTCTGTCACATGTTTAATATAAAATAATTGAAACAAGTTTATTCATTATGTAACCATTTATATACCAAAATGAACTTAACAAAACATAGATTCTTATGACACTAAAGTTTATTCAAAATGACCTCCATGATTTTGAATACAGGCCTTCAATCTGCGCGGCCAGTCGTCTATCGCAGCACGAACGAGGTCCATGTCAATATCGGCGGCTGCCTTAATCAAGCATGTCTTGAGTGACTCCAAATTGGGATAGGGCTTTGGGCACGCCTTTTCTTCCAAGTGTTGCCATATCTTGTAATCTAACGGATTCAAATCTGGACTGGAGGAGTGCGAGTGTGAGTCTTCGTGCCGGATGAAGTCGATTTCATGCGCCGCCAGCCAGTCTTGTGTGCTCTTCGCTCTATGAGCTGGCGCCGAATCTTGTTGGAATACCCAGTGCCTGTTATTGAACATGGTATGAGAAACAGGTTCCACAAGGTTCGTCGGGACTGTATTTTGATACACAACTGCATTCGTTTTTACACCTTTCTCACAAAAATGTACCTCTGTTAAGCCCTAATAAGAAACTCCCAACCATACCATGAGCGAGGATGGAAAATGACCTCATTGGACACGCGGAATACGGTTGCTCGCTTCTTCACTACTGTGTGCGTACACCTTATCATTTTGTTTGTTGTAGCTCTCTTCTACGGTAAAAATTTTTTCATCCGAAAAAAGAATTTCCCAATATTTTTTCCCACGTACCGCTTCAACAAAGCGCGGCATCTCTTCAGTCTCAGGCTCTCAGGTCCATTAGACGAGCATTCAAATGATGTCCTACTTTTCTTCGATATGCCCGAAGCCCTAAGTCTTCATTTAACACCGTTTTCACCATGGTTCTGCTTAACTCCATCTGAAGGGCCAACAGTTACTGCTCACGTTTGGGATTTCTTTGAATTCGCGCCTTCACAGCTTTTATCACTGCTGGAGTCCTAACAGACCGAGGGCGACCACTTCTTGATCTGTCATCTACCCTAGAGTTTTCATTGTATCGTTTGGTGGTACGATAAACGAATCTTTTGGTTATATTCAAATTTTTCAGTATGTCAAAAATTTGAATTGGCGCGTAACCGCAACGATGCAACGCAATAACTGCAACACAGTCTTCTTTAAGCGTCCACTCCATATTTAAAAATGAGTAAAATTCTAAAAAGTATACAGTTTTATTTTCATGAACAATTCGAAATTTGAATTCAATAAACTTTTTTGTGGCCAGCATTCTAAAAGAAAAGTTTTTACTGTGTGACAATACTTATGACCTGACTAGGTATGTATATATATATATATATATATATATATATATATATATATATATATATATATATATATATATATAATAAACAACAATGAATTATTCTAGACCACATTCTGCAGCCAATAGCTCACAAGTTTCGACATAATCTATATAATTTGGAAATTATGATTTGTTTTTCATATAATAAGGCTTTTTCCATGATTACTTTGTTTTACTTTATTTTGAAATCCAAGAATCCAATCTAATTGTGAAAAAAAAATTTGTATGTTTTTGGTTATCTATAGTCCACAGACTATAAACTATTGATTTCTATTTGTCAACACTAACCTCTACTCACACATTCAAAAGAAAATTGTAATATTTTTAACAGGGGGTCGTGAGGTAAGGGTGACCTCATGAACGTGTCAGTAGCAGTCTCCAATGAGGTCAGGGTTTACCTCATGGACAGTGAATGTGTTAACAGTAATGGTAAGTAATACCAACAAGCTTGAAATAAAAATCCTTTATTTTCTCACCTTTACAGGTGGAATCTTTTCTTTGAATTCTAATAGAAAACCACCTTGAGCTTTTAACTATTTAATATAAAAGAATCATTAAAATTGGTTCACAATTGGTGAAGACATAGTATAGGTAACATTCATACAAAAAAATTACTTGAATTGAGTAATTTTTAATACATTTAACACTTATTTGAAAATAATGTTTAACAAGTGCTCACAGTAAGACAAACAATTCGAGTACAATCCCCGCCAGTACTAATAAAATTGCTAATTGCAATTTTAAGTGAAGTAAAAGACTGGGAAGCCTGTATGTACAAGAAACTATAAAAGAAAAGATTGAAGACATAATTTGGGGCAGGGCAGAGGAAACTTTCTTGCCCTTAATCCCACTCAGAAATGAGAAGAGCCCTGTACCCAGTAGTTGGATATACTAAGGCTGTAACTTTGCTTTTAATTCTTTAATGATTTCATCTACAGATTTAAGGTATTTGACCCTTGCATACTTAAACATATTAATAATAATGTCCTCCAGACCGAAATTCATAGCACCCAATCTTAACAAAGACTAGCCATCTACACAGGACAGGTGCTAGTGTATGCACAAGCACAATTTCACTCTCCATATTATTGTAATAAACAATTTCACTGTCTCAGAGGAACCAAACCCAGTTTGCTTGCATGTTTATTTTTAGTAAAAAATAACTAACAGACTTGATCCAACTTAGGGTAAGTATTTTTTTATTATATACGAGCAGCTATGCAGGTCTAGAGACCAGTATCACCAGTCCATAGTTCACTGCTAAGCTGGGCGTGCCCCATAAATTTCAAAAGCCTATGTTGAGGCCCATTTTTGACCTATCGATATACCATATAAAGCTTCCGAACTCACAGATGACCTGACCATTCAGCCAGTCTCCTCTGTTTTTTTAAAGTACTTTTTGTTAAAAGTATATAGTGGACGTATAACATCTGAGATCATGCATAAGACCGGTGTTTCCTTGACTGAGTTGAGCATCGATCTCAATCTATAGGAAAGCAAGGTCAAACCACCCCGAGCGTTAATCCTTTACAAATGGGTGGGTAACTCTAATTTTAGTATTTAATTATTTTATACTTTTACAAAACGAAAATTGATTAAAGAAAGGAACTGGATGAAATATAATTAACCTGAGTCAATGCAGTGTCGTCTGGTGCTGGTTTGCATCTAGGAAATGCCGGCTCAGCCAGTATCAGATCGAAAGGTGGTCTCAGCATTAATACTCGTGGTCTGAAGGGTGGTCGCCCCATACCACCTCTGCCGGGCATTCCACGACCACCTCTGCTGACACCGCGCACCATTTTTTAAGATATATAACTTCACTTTATGTCCTGTAACGTAGTTTCGCGTCTACCTCCGTTAAAGATACAGTAAATTGCAATCGGCCTTCAAAGTCGGTAAGTACAGTAAAACGAAATGTTATGTACTTTATAAACTTTGGTTATTGGTTACTTCTGTCGGTAACAAATATCACAATTCAACCGAAAAGTATTAAAATTTGTAGCTGCTATGATTTTATTTTTGTAATAACTATAACACGTAACACCGACGTTTATTTTGCTATTTATCACAAATATATATTCCCAATATAAACAAAATGGCAGAGACGCGGAAACGACGCGAAAAAGAGGATCGATTTTTTTGACATACATCCAGGGTTGCCAACTTAATTTTTTAGGAGATCGTACGATAAACTGGAAAAAGGCGTATTTTGCTAAGAAGTCAAAAGAGAAAATTGTACCATTAAAATTTCAATAAAACTATGGAAAAAAATACAAAAATAATATTACTATAACGTCAAAGCAAAATTTAACATTTAGGATAATATAACATTTAAGAATCTAACATTAAACTTTAAGACAACTTTTTTTATTAATGAAAAGGGGCTCGGACTGTATCCACTCTGCCTTCTATTACAAAAATAGAGTTACTTTTACTTTTTCATTTATACAATCTATACATCTATACAAATAAATAAAATTGAATTGTCTGTTTGTAATGTCGAAATAACAGCGTTTTATTATATGCATATCAAAGTATATACGGTACTTATAACAAACACACGATTTTTTAAATTTTTGTCTATCTGTCTCTCTGTTTGTTCCGGCTAATCTCCGAAACGGATTGAGCGATTTTGACCGGACGTTTACTGACAGATAGCTAATGTTATAACAATTAACATAGGCAACTTTTATTTTAGAAAAAAATTAGGGTTCCACGCAAAAAAATTAAAACGCCTGAAACCCAATTGTAATAAATTACGCGCGGGCGAAGTCGCAGGGAACAGCTACTTAAACATAAACTCACACTCAACATGGAAAAATATACTTATATTTATTACTTTTAAGCCCTGAGTTAGTTTTACATTACAAAATAATTAACAAAATTAAACAATTAATCATATAAATCAATAAAAACATAGCTCTTAGAGTATATATGATGACGATATATCAGTTACTTGAGTACACAATTGACCATAGTAATAGCGCAATATTTAAATTTAAATTAGCTGAGTAATATACTCATAATGAACCGGCACAACTTCTAAGCAATACCAATTGACATATTTTGATAAAAAAATTGTTTGGTCTTCATATAAAGAACATTGCTAAGAATAATTTTGATGTTATTTATTTTTCATATCGATAAAATAAACTTTATCAATAATAATTTTTATTTTGTTATAAAGATTATAAGATTTGTAAAGATCGTATATTTTGCGTACGATCTCGAATACATGCTCGTACTATCGTATCGTACTATACTCAGTACAAAATAGCTTGATTTTTTGACAGATGTCAAATTTATGACGAACATAATATTTTGGAGTGAGAGTACAAGGAGAACCATCTTCTAAGGGGCGAAAGTTGAAAAAATGTCCTACTATTAACTGAAAATAGAGGTTCCAAAACCTACCAGAATAGCGCTGGCGACTGAAAAACTACGATATGAATATAGCTGTTGTAGACGGAGTGAAGTCAGCTGAATTCTAATATTTGAAAAATTTGATGACTAGAGTAGTTAGTAAAATGCCAGTATACAAAACCTCAACTATTTACGTAGTACAGAACCAAGTGGATTGGTCGATCCTTGTTTATTTCTCCATCTTATTCTAATTAATTGTGGCGCTTTTTTTTTAATTTATCCTATGCTACTGCAGCGCCACCCTTATTGGACGCGTTTTTAAGGACACTTTTCTTATATAGAGATGGTCCTCCTTCTCTCTACACTCCAAACATAATATTTTCTTATTTTGATAATTTTAAAAATTGTTAAAAATCTTAAAAATAGACATTTTTAAAATTTGTCAAAGTAAGATTTAAATAGATAATTTAAAATTTTGTACTGAGGACTGAGATGGAATGTCTCGTTTCCAGTAAAAAGAGTTTCCCGTTCTCTACACTCACCATACGAAACACAGCAGCATTAAGCTGGGGCGTGGCTCTGCCATAATAGTGTTCTGTGCTGCCATATAAATTAAAATGTCTATGGGAAGAACGCAGATATTTAAATGAAATGGGATCTTTGACCCTAGATAATCTGCCGTGTATTTTCTTCAATTAATTCTTCACATAATGCTGATGCGTGACATTGCGAATTTTCAAAGAGATTTCGACGACACTTTTACAAGGGCACTGAACTTGTCAAAGTTATTAGGAGAAGAAACAATCTTCCAAACTTATTAGGAAATATAAAGGATTGGATGCCCAAGAAGCAGAGGGAGTTCTATTTTTTCAAAATGACGGTTCTCCTGCGCATTATGATGTACCTGTTTGTTTATATCTATACGAGACAGACCAAAACAGATAGACTGGCTGATTAGAGCCAATTTTGTGGCTTCCACGTTCACGGGACCTGAATCCATCGGACTTTTTTTTAATTGGGTCTGCCTTAAGGAAGATGTTTACAGAAAGCTAGTCCGTTCCTGGAAGACCGCAGGATAGCATTTATTCGTATGTGTATAGCCTGGAGCCACCCACTCTGGTGCAGGCCGAACGTTTAACTTTTACTATAATTTATGTCAAATGGAACATTTACTATAAATAACTTAGTATTTAATGTTGTTTTTTCTTAAACCAAATGGTCAAGTACATTCTATGTAATTGTTCCGATATTGCAAATATTGTTGCTTGGTCGTTTACTCAATTTCGACATTAAAAACACTAATTCACTTTTTACCGTTACTGACTATCACAAGTATACTGCCGAATATAGACCTCCTCTATAAATTGCCTCAAAGGGAGAATATTTGCTTCAGTTGCTACGCTTAAACTTTGTGAAATATTTTTAAATATTTATGCAAATTTTACATTAAAACAATAATTCAAGTAAAAAAAACATGCAATAGTAATAGCTGTCATACTATTTATTGCACTGTCAGCTGAATTAACGTAAAATAATATACTTAAAAACCAATAGAATTCATTAATTTGTGGTCATGATGTCCAAGAATGTATAATACGATGAAAATAGTATTTTTAAATAAAAAATACAAAAATAATTCAGGTGCTAGGTACTTAGGATTAATTTTTTTTAGTAGCTATAAATTCTGCAAAGACCTATTTCAAGGTTATCTATTATTTACCGAACATCCAGAATAGTACAGATTCATACTACCACACAGAAAGTTGGACGCTCCCCGGGCTAACATCTTCTCCAGCAAGAGATCTCTCCTTTTGATTCCATGGCCAAAACCTTTGTAATAACAGTGAATATATTCACATATCAGAATAAAATAATTTGATCTGTAGGGTGAAGGTAAAATCGTAAGATTTGGCGAAATTGGTCACATTTCAACACTATTTCCTTTGGTGGGCTATCAAACGCATGGTTCAGTTCAGCGATGGGCAGTTGACGGTTTTTCCGTTAACAAAACGTTAACGTTGATTTACGTTTTTCAACTAGTTATTCAACTAGCTGAATTCGTCAACGAGTTAACGTACTACTAATGTCAACTTGCAACCTAAGCCATTAATTCGTTAGACTGTTTGAATTCTACGCTACGACGTTCAATTTTAAAAATAGTTTGATTCAATGTATGTATTGGAAAACGTTTGATTAAAGCTTCTACTTAGATGGCCTTCCCTTTTATACTTTTTCTTTAGGCTTATGACTGATTGAATACAATTAGCTATAAACCATATTCTACTCAGGCGTATTTAAAAGATCATCTGATTTTATGTGCGCAAATATTATTTACAATGTTTTTTATAGTTTTCTTTTTTAATTTCTTTTTGGCTTTTTTATTGTTTCGAAATGCAGTCACAACGCTAGTTACGCTAGTATGTCCAGATATTTTCAATTTTGTACCTTGAGTAGTTCTGTTTTATTCAAATTTACACAATTGTATTAACACTAACAAATTTACACTGTCACTATAGTTCGGCCGTTCAGAGAATGCGTTCCTGACACGTCGCGATTGAACTGACGACGTAACTTTGTAATGGCGTTGCAGTTACGATAAAAACATTTTTGCTGGTTGTTTACCGTTTTAACAATTGATGAGTATTAATACAACATTATTATATCAATAATCAATGAATGTTATAATTTTGTGCCAAACTGAGTGTCAAATAACTTGGCAAACAATATTTTTCTAAATCTATACTGCGCTATTACAAGGTTATGTCAGCGCTTTATATTTGTAGTGCTGTGCTAACAATAACAGGCAATAACAGTATCGTAATCAGTTCTTATACAGTTATACTTTATAAAATAATACGTTTTGTTTTTCTTTTTAAGAATTTGAAAATAATGGACTATAAGATAACTTTTATTAAATATAAAAATAAAACTACGACCAAACCGAACGCGCGAAAGAAAGTAGCATTTTTATATTTAGGTTGAAAATGGTAACCCCAAATGGCGTTATGGGCCGCCATTTTGTGACGCTAAAACAGTCGTCTGTTGTCGTTTCGTGCGCATGGACCACGTTCTTCAAGTGTTTTCGATCTGTTTTTATTTGATTATCCATCTTTCGTTTAATGGACTGTTTCTGCTTTTCAAACTGACATCGGCGCTAAATCAGATTTCGATTGTGTTTTGTATTGCGTTCTTTTTACTTTTGGTGCATAATAATGCCTAAACGTGGACAAACATTGAAAAGTGGAGCCCGTGAGTTAATCATCAAGCTGCAAGATTACTTTGAGCGGGAGCGGCAAAATGGCGGACCCCTGTTACCTGTCGAACAAGTACAAGAACGCGTCTCTCAGGCGCTTGGAGTTAGCAAACGAACGATAACAAATATTAATAAAGAAAAGTTCGGCTCTACTGGCACGTAAGATAATATTTTACGTACTCCGAAGAAGAAACGTAGAACTAAACCCGTGATAGATATTGACACCTTTGACGCCGATGCAATCAAAAATCATATATATGGTTACTATTCCAGAAATGAATATCTCAACAGGAAGAAGCTTTTGGTATCGTTAAGAGAAGCTGGACTGTTTAGCGGGGGTAAAACTGCTTTAACCAAAATCTTAAAAGATATTGGTTTTTTGGTATAAAAAAACAGACAAAAGAAAAATTTTATTAGAACGATACGACATAATTTTAAAACGGATAAGTTTTTTGAGAGAAGCAAAAAATATTGATAACTGGGATAATGTCGTGTTCATTGACGAGACATGGCTAAACGCCAATCACACGGTTTCCCATTCTTGGACGGATGATACACAAGCGTCGACTTCGAAAGTACCAATGGGTAAGGGGCCCCGTCTGATAATATGCCACGCAGGTTCTGCAAAATACGGCTTTGTGGAGAACGCGTTACTGGCATTTCAATCAAAAACCACAAATGACTACCACGAGGAAATGAATGCCACTAGATTTAAAGAGTGGTTCCAGAACGTGCTTTTGCCCAGCCTACCAGAGCCTTCTATAATATTCATGGATAATGCCTCCTATCACTCGGTTCAAATACAGAAACCACCTACCCAAGCTAATAAAAAAGAAGAAATGGTGACTTTGTTACAAGCAAAAGGCATTGACGCAAATATGCAGATGCTAAAACCAGAGCTAATTAAATTAGTTAAAGAAAATAAAGCAGCAAATGTGCGATACGAAATCGATGAACTGGCTCTGGAGTACGGTCATCGCGTTCTAAGAATTCCACCGTATCATTGCCAATATAACGCGATTGAGCTAATCTGGGCTCAAATAAAAGGTTACGCCTCCCGCCACAATACTTCCCCGCTATTCAGCACGAAAAAGATGATGACCCTATTAAAAGAAGCCTGCGGGGAAGTCACAAGAGATGACTGGGCAAAGGTTGTGGAGAAGACTAAAAACCTGATTGTGGAACATTTTGACCGAGATATCAGGATTGATTCTGTTATTGATAATAATATAATTATACATGTAGGCGAAGATGATGATGAAGACACCACCTCCTCAAGCGAATCGGAGTCTGATTAATATTCTGTATGCATATTCAATTCAATGTACTTTATTGCATAGAAATACAGATTGTAACTTTGTAACAAATAATAAATAAAACAATTTTATTATATTAATATTACCTTTTTTTTGCTTTCCACTTAAATTACTAAAATATAAATTTTAAATGATTTCGCCAATTTAAAACGAAAATAATCTTAGAATTAACGCGGCGGTTCATTTTGGAGGAACGGTAACGAACTCAATGTTATGTTGTGCCTTTTACTAGTCGTGACTAACTGATAGGTGTCAGGAACTATGGAGTGTAGAGAGAAGGAGGACCATCTCTATACTATGAAAAGTGTCCCTAAAAACGTGTCCAATAAGGGTGGCGCTGCAGTAGCATAGGATAATTTAAAAAAAAGCGCCAAAAGTAATTAGAGTAAGATGGAGAAATAAACAAGGACCAACCAATCCGCTTGGTTTTGTACTACGTAAATAGTTGAGATTTTGTATACTGGCATTTTACTAACTACTTTAGTCATGAAATTTTTTAAATATTTGAATTCAGCTGACTTCACTCCGTTCATAACAGCTATCTTCATATCGTAGTTTATCAGACGCCAGCGCTATTGTGGTAGGTTTTGGAACCTCTATTTTCAGTTAATAGTAGGACACTTTTTCAACTTTCGCCCCTTATAAGATAATTCTCCTTGTACTCTACACTCCATATCAGGAACGCATTCTCTGAACGGCCGAACTATATAAACATTAACTAAAAAGTCTAAACTAAATATCAAAGAGAATATAACCACTACGCTAAATATTTTCACAAACTGTCAATCAAAAATTAAAGAAAGCAAACTTCATATCGTTCGTAAACCTAAATAAACAAACTAGTATTAACCTATTTCTCTCGGGCGGCACGAGAAGGGTGCGCCATTCCACCAATATCGTAAGTTCTATGCTTAAAATAAATATTTCGAAAATAAACTCTTTTGTAGGCTCTTTAGAGTTCAAACTGTATGACATGACCATCGCTCCCAATCTATGACGTTATTTTCAACTTAAGTTTTTTAATTTTCTCGGCTGCGTTAACGAGAAGCACGAGTTAAATTCATAAACGTCGTTGTCCAATTCAACTAGTTGATTCATAAGCCGTTAACGTTAATACGTTGACAGAAGATCAACGGTTGATTCAACTAGTTCGTTGATTCAACGCTCTCGCTAGTTCAGTTGAGATTTGGAGTTGGGTATGTGTCCGTATATTCGTGTAGAGTAGCCATTATGCTATTTTATGATAGAATTTTTTTTTATAATAGGAACATATCAATGTCAAATAATATATCTTTCTGATTTGAAACATCGAAAATTTTACGATACATCAGTGTATACAGGTTATCACTATTTGGATTTGACACTTGAGTTTAGTCTTTGACAGTTCTAAAATTCGATTGCAAAAATGACGTGGAGAAATAGGTTATAAGTTTGTTGTATTTCCTAATATTTTAATTGGGCTTAATTAATAGCTCGTATTTTATTTGCGTCGCTTTACAGATAAATCCACAGAAATGATTGAAATAACTGACACTCAAAGTGAGTACTTTAGTAATATGAATCTTATAAGATAATACTTGAGTTTTTTCAGTTCAAACTTAGTCACATTAAAACATTATTTTGTTTAGCTTAAAAAGTAAACTATTTAGAAATTCTAAAAGTGTAAAACCCTTTGTTAGATATGTTTTTACTTTATGTCGATTTACAACATAATGAACTAAGTTTAAATTTTATAGACTTGTAATTAATGAATCATAATATTTTGTTCAAATATATGTGTTAATGTCGTGCTATTATTAAATAAAGGTCAGACAGCATTTGTAGAGACATTCCAATCAATTCTTGTTGAAGGAGTTGCCAATCATTGGCCAATAAACTAAGTATGTTGCATAAATTAACAAGTATGTACTTAATGTAAGAGCTCCGAAAATTACAATAATTTTGTTTTACTTTTCAGAAATTGGTGTAGGCTTGGCAGGGTTTGGAATGACCTTTCTGTTCCTTGGAGTGCTCTTACTCTTTGATAAAGGATTATTAGCCATTGGAAATGTAAGTAAAAAAAGTATAACAGTTTAAAGATTCAAATCAGTGAATATGATTGCTGTTTATAAACAAACTGTCTACAGAGTAATGCGCATGCACATGTGAGTAGTGTATCTAACTACTGATTTTTAATATCTGAAATCTGAAACTAGCGCTGAGATTATTAATGTGGTAAATTATATTATCATATAAAATCTGGTAGTAATTGGTTAGTCTCATATGGCAATCAAATGTAATTTATTATTAACAAGCAAATCTGAATAGGTGTGCCACAAGGTAGATTTCTAGGTCCAGTCCTGTATCTATTCTTTCACTCACATTTCAACACTTGTGAAGAAAGCATACAGCTTGATATACAGAGTGAAGATCCTTCTAGCATCTTAATCTAATCATCATAAAGAAAGGAAATAAATGATGCTCACTCCCTCCATTGCAATCAGAAGGAAAACATAGGGTAAATAATATGAGGGTAGAATTGAGCAATGCAAAGAAATATATATCAATGAGTTTATAAAGTAATATAAACTCTATTACTTTATAAACTCAAAAATATATATTAGTCGAGGGATACTCATCCCAATTTACCTGTCCGGTAGTTGTGGTATGGTATACGGGTATGCGACCCCGACTTCCCTAGCTATTACTGTCCTATCCCGTGCCCTCCTGGACGGTAATATCCTACATTTCCTATTTCCTACCCTAACTTACCTTACTCTTCCTTTTCACACCACCTATCCTTCCCCTTTTCCTATTCCTACCCTCCGCCAATCCAACGTCTGCCGCGTGGATGGATGCATGGCTAGGGGCGAGCCTAGTCGTTAGCGTGCCACACTGCCCTGGGACCGTTCGACCCCAGAATCAGGCTAGCCTTACCCTGGCATGCGGGGCTCTGCGGGGGGGGGGGGACAAACCTTTCCCTCGCTATTCGTGGGAACGCAATGGATAATCATAAAAATAATTTAATTAACCAAAATGGCGGCGATGTGGTTCGCCACCCATCACGTCTCGTTTCTCGCGGGGGCGAAAAGCGGCCCACGGAGAGCCGCTTCGCTACGTTGAATGTAAGAGGAGGAATGGATGGTAAGGTAGATGAAGTATGTCAGATGATGGATGAACGTTGCATTGATATTCTGTGCGTGAACGAAACCAAGAGGAAAGGATGTGACACCACGGTTCATGGCCCCTACACGGCATACTGGTCAGGAGTCCCCCAAACCAGCCGAGGCTGTCAGGGAGTTGGTGTGATTCTTTCATCTCGAATGGTTGAATGTGTGATAGAGCATGAATGTATAAGCCCAAGACTCCTCTGGATTAGGTTAAAAGTCGGACTCACTCGCTTGTTTATCCTTGGGGTCTATGCACCGACGGATCTGCGTGGAGGTGGGTCATTAAAAACACAACAAGAGAGAGAGGAATTTTGGGATAGCATGAGAGAGGTCTTGAATAAATGTGGAGAAAATGAACGGATCGTGATGTTAGGGGACTTTAATGGATGGGTTGGAGTAAAGCGTGATGGATATGAAGGAGTTCTGGGTACGTTTGGGGACGAGAGAGTGAATGACAATGGGAGAAGCCTGCTTGAAGTATGCTTGGAATGGAATCTGTGCGTGGCCAACACAATGTTTGACCACAAAAAGATCCATTTGTATACAAGAGATGAGGGTGAGTCTAGAAGTATGATTGATTTTGTAATTGTGGATGAAAGACTGAGGAAGAAAGTGCTAGACACTCGGGCATACCGCGGTGTAGGCCTCGACACAGACCACTTCCTGGTGGCGACACCGAGTGGCCGAGCCTACGAGTGTTTTGGACAGAGTAAAAGTGGAAAATCTGCAAGAAAAAGAAAAGAAAGACGAGTATGTAGAGAAACTGAAAGAAAGTTTTAAAGGGATAGAAGAGATAGGAGTGATTGAAGATTTGTGGGAGACATTTAAGAAAGGGGTCGTAAATGTTGCTATTGAGGTATGCGGGGTAGCCAAAAGAAGAAAAGGAAGAAAGAATGATAACGTGTGGATGGATAAAGATGTACAAAAGGTTGTGCAAGAAAAGAAGAAAGCGTGGTTGGATTGGTTAGCAACAAAAGCTAACCAAAAAGTTCAAAAGGCAACGGATGACGAGATAAAGGAAGCAAGAACGAAGTATAAAAGATTGAAAACAGCAGCGAAAGAAATTGTGTCTAGAAAGAAAGAAGAACGAAAGGATGATTTCGACAGGAGGCTCACTGAAGATTTCCAGTCAAACATTAAGTTTTTCTGGAAAACCATCAAAACAGCCAGACTTCCAAACTTCTACCTCGGAGCTGAGTACAGTCAGGAGTCAAGATGGGAGCATTATAAAAGGAGAAGAATGTTTGTTAAAGAGATGGAAAGAGTATTTTGAAAGTTTGTTTGAAAGAGAGGAAGTGCAGGTACAGCATCTGCCACCTTCCACGGAAACTAATATAAATGTTGATGAAAATGAGATAAGCATGGATGAAATAGTGAAAGCGTTGAAAAGTATGAGATTAGGTAAGGCTGCAGGGTATGACAGGATTACCGTCGAGATGCTGAGGGCTGGACAGGGCCTGGTGGCTAGTCAGCTGTACCGCCTTTTCAATCTGTGCTGGCGAAATGGGCAAGTACCGGGAGACTGGTGCGAAGCCGTAATCGTGCCATTGTATAAGGGAAAAGGGTCACGGCAGGACTGCATAAATTACCGCGGTATAAGCCTTCTCAGCGTCGTCGGTAAATTGTATGCGAAAGTGTTGATTGAAAGGATTGTGAATGAAACAGACAAGAAAGTATGGGATGCACAAGCGGGATTTAGAAAGGGAATGGGATGTACGGATCAGGTCTTTTCCTTGCGGTGCATAGCCGAAAAGTATTTGGCTAAAAACAAGAAAGTCTACTGCGCGTTCGTAGATCTAGAAAAGGCCTATGATAGAGTGGTGAGGAATGAATTGTGGTCAGCACTGTCCGTGAACAGTGTGAGCAGTATCCTCATACGAGCAATGCAATCTCTTTATAGGGATTCTAGTGCTTGTGTAAGGATAAACGGGGCATACACTAAATGGTTTAATATCGAAAAAGGTGTTAGACAGGGATGTGTAGCGTCACCGTGGCTGTTTAATCTGTTCATGGACAATTGTTTGACAGATTTAAAAGAGAATGAAAGTGGGTTGAGAATGAATGAGTTACTCGTCAAATGTTTTCTCTATGCTGATGACCAAGTATTACTTGCGTCTTCGGCCGAGGAGTTGCAGGAGATGGTAACTGCTATGAGTGGAGCTTTTGTTAGAAAGGGAATGAAGATGAATGTAAGGAAGACGAAAGTGATGGTGTTTGAAAAAGATGAGGCAGTGACAGACTGCAACATTGTGATTGAAGATGAACAAATTGAACAGGTGAAAGAGTTTGTGTATCTGGGTTCAAAGTTTACAAGAGATGGAAAGTGTGAGAGTGATATCGAAAGAAGAGTGAATGCAGGAAACATGGTGAATGGAGCTTTGCACTCCTTTATGAGCAGTCGGAAGGTGTTTAACAAGGCTCGTTTGGCTGTGCATGAGGGGGTGTTGGTTCCGACACTCATGTACGGAAGTGAAACTTGGGTATGGCAGAAGAAACATGAAAGCAGAATAAATGCAGTTGAGATGAGAGCATTAAGAAGTATGATAGGAGTTAAACTGAGTGACAGGCTAAGAAATAGTGAGATAAGGAAACGTTGTGGTCTGAAAGAAGATGTAGTGACAAAAATTGAGAAAGGTATGCTGCGATGGTTTCGCCATGTCGAGAGAATGAATGAAGAACGATTGACGAAAAAAGTGTATAAGGCGAGTGTGAATGAAAGTGTTGGAAGGGGTAGACCTAGGCGGACATTTCTAGACCAAATCAGGGACGTCTTGAAAAAAGGCCAGGTCAAGAGTACCCTAAACCGTAGAGCATGTATGAAGGGAATAATGAAAGTGGACGAAGCAAAACAAGTATGTAAGGATCGTAGCAAGTGGAAAGAACTGGTCTCTGCCTACCCCCACGGGAAAGAGGCGTGATTATATGTATGTATGTATGTATAAACTCTATACATAATAGGGAACACCGTATTACTGTATTCTATCTCATTTTATTGCAGGCTAAATCCTATAGATGTATATACATATATGTTTGTCTCTTTTTAGAAGAATGATAGAAAAACATTGAAATTAAATACTGTTTATTTCTTTCAGATCCTGTTCATAAGTGGTCTCGCATGTGTGATAGGCATCCAGAGGACTTTCTTCTTTTTCTTCCAGCGGCATAAAATCAAAGCATCTGTGGCGTTCTTTGGTGGCATCACAATTGTTCTACTCGGCTGGCCTATGGTGGGCATGATAGCGGAGATATATGGATTCCTATTATTGTTTAGGTAAGTTCACATATAATAGATGGGTAATATAATATAAGCTGACCCGGCAAACCTTGTTTTGCCATACACATTATTTCTAGGAAATATTTTTTAGTTGTAAAAATCGCGATTAAAAAACAGAGGTTGATCGTAGAAGGGTGAAAATTTGAAGTTTTATGTATTTTTCAATGCTAAAAAATCATAATAAAATAAAAATAAAAATATTGTCCAAAAAAATAAAAAGAAATGTTTAGGGGTAGGTCACTATTATTATTTAGGGGTTTGAAAAATAAATGTTGGCCGATTCTCAGACCTACCTGATATGCACACAAAATTTCATACAAATCGGTTCAGCCGTTTCGGAGGAGATTGGTAACAAACACCGCGACACGAGAATGTTATATATTAGGATATATATGTGTACCTACGCAAAATACGCAATTAGACGTGGTGTTGCGGAAAACAGCCCGTCATTATCTGTCTATCTTATCTAATATTTGTGTAGTGAGAGCGATGATTTGACGAGTGACACTACTCATTATATTTAAAAAATGTAAAGACTAGATGGGTAGCAAATTAACAATACAACATGTAACAAAAACCCTGTGGTTCCCATTAAGTGCGTTATCAATCAGTATTCAAACGTAAAGAAATAACTTTTTTCAAAAAACTTTAACATTAAAAAATATTTTTTAAATAAAAAAATAAATAATTTGCGAATTGTATGTGGTTTAATTACCACTGCATTATCCGGGAAATAGGAGGTTTGTGAAAGACCTCCCCTTCACCGATGCTCGTGTCAGTTAGAGGTAACCAAACCCACATACAATTTGACAATCAATTTATTTTAATTAAATTTAAATTTTTTAATGTTCAAGATTTTTGAAAAAAAAAGGACCACGCTCTCACAGGATACCAGCGTAAAATAGCAGCTTAATGCTGCTTTGTTACATATGGTGAGTGTAGAGAACCGGAGACCCTTTTTACTGGAAAAGAGGCATTCTATCTTAGTCCTCACGGCTGACAACGCATCTGCATTTTAATTCGCAAACGAAGATAGATGTAGATGTCTATGGGCCGCAGCAAACACTTACCATCAGGTGGACTGTGTGCTCGTTTGTCATCCTTATTCTATAAAAAAAAGAATGGTTTAGATTCATAATTGGAGCCGGTAGGTGGCGCTGTTCTCGAAATCCAGAAATTACCTGTGCGAAGGCGGTGCACATAGCTTGTACTTTTCTAAAACATGAATTTCGGATTTGAAGTTAGTATTCTTTTCTTGTAATTTACCATTAGGTGGACAGTGTGGTGCCTTGTCATCCATACTTCTATGAAAACTTTAAATATATATAAGATGTTAGATATCTTGTTTTTAGGATTGACTAAAATAAACTATGTTGTGTTGCTTTGTAAACAAAGTTTTATATTTCATTAATTCTAAGTTCAATTACCAAAGTACACTATTACAATAATAACCAAAACTCCTACCTGTAAACAAAGAAACGACATTTAAAGTTCATTCCTTAATATGTCAATTCCCTTTGTAACAATTCTGTTTTTAATAAACTTAAATTATAATTTTCCACAGGCGGCTTATTGTTGTTGAACAGTCAATACGTTCTTTCATTGATTCTATCTACACTCCACAATTCTTCTTAATAATTGGCTTTACGGCTCTGGGATCTAGCCCTTCTGAGCCTAAAGTTACAATATTATATTATAATAATTATTCTTCATAGTATACTGCTTCACAATATGTTGATGCGTCACATTGTGCAGCCCTTGGGAGATTTTGACGGCAGCTTGGGCCAGCAGACAGCTGACGGTTAGCGATGGTATCTCAAGGCGCCTAAGCAGACAGGCACCTTATTTTGAGAATCACATCACTATCAGAGCACTTGTTTCTCAGTTTCCACTAATAGTTCACATGCGCAGACACTTAATACACAAAATCGCACCACTTTTACATATCAAAGTCCACTTCAAACCATTATTTAAACAATAAAACAGGAGCAACAAACCGCCGCCGGTCAAGTTCCCGCCAAAACTCTACACTCCACAAATACAGATAAACCACAGATAAAACACACAGATAAAATATTAAAGAAATAAATTTTCTTTACTTAAATTAAAAAAAAATATATTTTATTCGCAGAGGTTTCCTGCCTGCGGCTGTGAATTTCCTCCGAATGGTTCCTGTTTTTGGATCCGTACTTAATTTACCTATTATTCGGGGGGTGAGTATATTATTTAAAATAAAATATATTTTGCGTTTATGTGATTGTTAATGGCAAAAATATGGCCGTGTAGTTACGGTGTAAGAGAAACTACTGCCTCCATATCATGCCGTGGGTACTGTAAGAGACGACAGAAGAAAATAAAACAGTAGTTTAGCAGCAGCATCTTTTCGAAAAAGCCTAAAAAGGATTGAAAAAATTGCACGAAATGTTTTTTTTACGCGGTAGAAACATGCTACCTCTATATTACTGGTATAGTTGTAGCACGAATGGGTCGGCCCGACCGGGGAAGCGCCACGCTCTCACAGAATACCAGCGTAAAATAGAAGCTTAACGCTGCTGTGTTTCGTACGGTGTGTATAGAGAACCAGAGAACCTTTTTACTGGAAACGAGGCATTCCATCTTAGTCCGCACGGGTGACAACGCATCTACATTTTGATTCGTCACCGAGGATAGATGTAGATGTCTATAGGCCACAGACACCACTTACCATCAGGTGGACTGTGTTGCTGGTTTGTCACCCTTATCCTATAAAAAAAAATTGCTAACCTGCCTACCAAGCACGTTAAGTATGGCAAACCCTTTGATGCAGATTGCCTCATAGTGTTTTCCATAGTTGCATTGCCATATATTATATTCATAGGACAATTGGCTTAAATTAATAGTCATAAGGCTTGCCATAAGTTACCTGTGCCTTGGTGATGGAATGGATTAAAAGTCAAAATCAATGATTTCATAGCTTATGACCCGACTGCTCCAGAAGGAGTGTAATGTTTTTCGAGAGTATATTATACAGCATTACTTTGCAATAACCGGTCGAAATATATAAAAAAATTAATTAAAAAGAAATCTCCAAACATTCCATCCTTTTTATCTTTTAAATTGAAAATGCGTGGTAATGCATTATTTTAACTGATTGTCTTGTTGATTGTCTTTCATAAATATCTAACGCCTACTATTTTACTGCGCACGCACACATTCGTAAGAGTCGATCGGTCGTCAAAAACGTTGTGAATTAAATCGCACACAAAGGAGAGAGCGCGCGCGTAGTTGTTGGCCATAAATCACATTCAATTTTGGATAATTTCAAATAAAATTAGAATAGAATAGAATATTTTTTTATTGAATATTGATTATTACATCATACTTATTGAAAGTCATTTTTTATTTACCACTGGTTCGGAAAACACCCCAGTCCTGGGAAGAACCAGCAAGAAACCCAGCGAGTCTTTTTTTTTTCAAACATATTTCACTTAACAATAACTTCGTTTATACAATTATTCAATTATTTTTAAAAGCCTTAATTACTCGTATTTTATAAAATTGCACAAACAGTATATCATTATTTATATAGTTAACTTAACTAAGCTACTTAAGTTTATAATTTGGCTACTCTTTGAAAAATAACCCTGTATATGTATGTATGTCTATTTCTTTGGCACTCTCTGTAGGCTAAATGTCGTGGAGGATTTTAACATAATATAAACATATACATATATTATATGAGGTAGAATAAAATAGTATTTTTTATGTGTGTTACCTCATTACTTTTTTTTTACGTGAACCGATTTTGATGATTCTTTTTTTATTTGAAAGCTTCTCATGTGGTCCCATATCAATTTGATTAAGGTCTGACCAATCATTTTTGAGTTATCCTTAATAATTTATATTGAAGTAGGTTGTACAAAATTTTTAATTTTACCTCTTGTTTATTGAGCGATTTTTGTTCCTTTACAGATCGTGGACAGGATAGCGGGCGACAACGGCCGTAATATGGTATGATAATGTGTTGCCATATGGAAATAAAGACTTTATGTTAGTGTAATATATTTTTTACGTGTACATTTTATCCGTGAATGTGAATGAGTGGCTAAGATGATGTATTTATTTTAAAATACAGTGTTGCCAAGTTAAAATAAAAATCTTGAGATGGGCCAATGGCTTATTATTTTTCGTGGGCATCGTCTTTGATATTCTGTTTATGATAAATATATAGTCTAGTCTAGAAAAGAAGCAATTTTTTTAGCAATGTAAAGTTATCCATAAGTTCAATATGTCTTAGTACCGTTTAACATCCAACGCTGAAGTTTGTTGCAACTGCTATAAAATAAAATAGTGTTAAATTTATTTTTTTATTGTGTGAGAAAATAATAATATAATTCGTTATTTAATGGCCATTGCAGTCCATAGACAACTTTTTTTTTTAGAATAAGGGTGACAAACGAGCACAGAGTCCACCTGATGGTAAGTGGATGGTGTAGCCCACAGACTATCTACATTTATCCTCGATTAAGAATCAAAATGCAGAGGGCTAAGATGGAATGTCACTTTTCTAGTTAAAAGGGTCTCCGGTTCTCTACATTCACCATACGAAACACAGCAGCATTAAGTTGCTATTTCACGCTGGCATTCTGTGAGAGTGTGGTCTTATCCTGGTCGAGTCGATTTATTCGTGCTTCAACTAATATAGCTGCAGCGTGGCTCTACCACGTATACTATACCTGCAGCCTCACCCTTAAGAACTAAAAATAAGCCTAAAATAGAAGCTTAACGCTGCTGTGTTCGTGTCGTATGGTGAGTGTAGAGAACCGGGGACACTTTTTACTGAAAAACAGGCATTTCATCTTAGTCCTCACGGGTGACAATGCATCTGTATTTTGATTCGCAAACGAGGATAGATGTAGATGTCTATGGGCCACAGCAACCACTTACCATTAGGTAGACTGTGCTCGTTTGTCACCCTATCCTATAAAAAAAACCTTTGTTTACAAAATAATTACACTGATCATTAAAATAATTATTAATTTATTATTTTAATGAGTACATAAGTGGTAAGTAAAATGGTTATTGTACAATTATCACTGGCGATTTGCCTTTTTTTTTTCAATTTTATTTTATATAAACAATAATATGTAAATTCCAATTTGTTTTAAAGATGATTGAAGCTTAGGAATAAAGATGGTTAACATATATACTTATCAATATAAAATGTTTGTATTATTTGTATTAATAGTATTTGCGATCGAATAGTCGGGCAGAGATTTTTTAATTTTTTTAAATGTAATTGTGATTACTAAATAGAAATTTAAAATTTAAAAACGCCTTTTTGTAATATATATATCCATCAAATGAACTAATTAGAGTAGTGGCGGTGTAAAAATATTAAGAATATCCACTACCCCATATCGTCGCGTGGGTGTCTCGAAAGAAACATTAATTTGTATACTTTACAAATAAAATTAACTTACCCCGCTATGAAATTTATCAAATATTTTACCTCATTTCTAAGTGGCGCTGCCCTAATGACAGAGGAAGTCGTGGACGTCCTCAGTGAAGTGGATTTTATAGCCCATAGACACCTAGATCTATAATCGATGCACATATCTATAATAACATAGCTGCCTCGTGGCTGTACAACAACCTAAAAATACATATGGACTCCCTCCTCTCCTTTTTGTGACTTTTGGATTTCCCCCTCTCCTTTTTGAGACTTGTTCGCAATATTGTTTACTAGAAGATAAGGCTTTCATGTGGGGATGGGCAAGTGAAAAAAAGATATCGATATATACATATATTGTATCGATATTTTTAATCAGTATCGATATATATCGCGTCATAAATATCGATATATCGTGATGTTCTGCATGATGTAGTAGGATAAGGCCCAAAAAGTTATTACTGGACGGTTGGACGACGAAAAAAAAACGACAACAACACATAAATGCTTTTGTAGCTGTTCTTATTGCTTGTTTTGCCGATAATACAACGTTTTAGAATATATCGAAATTGATACGAATTCGATACTCTAAAATAAATATCGGATATCGATATGTCGCGCTTATAAAATATCGACGATATCGATGTTTTTTACCCAAGCTTACTTTGTTGCGTAGGAGTTCGTTAGCGTACTTACCACCCTCTTGTACCTATAGCTATCGCCAATCGGCACTGCGTGCAGTACTGCGTGGTCTGAAGGGATATAGATTTAGAGAGCCAGTATAATAACATGCTGTAAGATTAGGAATAATATATCTCCGAGGAATAAGATTCCATCTTATTTCTCAGAGATAAATACATCCCTCAATCATTAAAATTGGCGATATATTGAAAATGGGCCAGATTAGGAGTACCCTTGACCGACGAGCGTGTAAAGGAGGCGTGAGAGGTGTGTCAGGATCGTGCCAAATGGAAATCCATAGTCTCTGCCCACCCCTCTGGATAACAGACGTGAGTGTTTATGTATGTATGTATGTGTGTAAATGCATTCGAAGCCTCGTTTGTTGAAAGATGGTTGCATTTGTCAATTGCTGGTTAACGAATGCCCAACATTCGGTATGTAAATTTTTAGATCTGCAAATATAGGATAGTGAGCCCTTAATAATATATATCTGATAATGGTTCCGTCACAGTATGCTCCAATAGGTGTATATATATAGGTGTATGCTCCAATAGATACCGCGATATTGCCCTTTCTGCACACACACACTGCTCTACTCGCGCAATTAATCGGGACGCCCCGCACTAGGTTGCTTGTGTTTGCAACTCAATGGTTCTTGAAACTGTAACAGTAGGCGTGCTATTTGCATATACACGGCGTCATCCTCGTCAACGGAGATGGTGGATAACATCCGACAAAACAGGGAGCGATGGGCATGACGAGTATTGTGGCCGCACTGCGTCTCTGCCTCCTTTCTTCGCTACTTCCCATGCCACTCGACGAGTGTGTAACATTATTTCCTAACACTTTCATAAATTTTAAATCGTGTCTCGATAACTTTTGATCGATATTTGAATCGAGAAATTTTTGTAGAACGCCATTACCATTCCATTTTTAATCTGTATAAATCTAACCAAATACCATGTACATAAATTTGATTGTTATAACATTTCTATCTCATTAAATATAATGATGATGTGTTTAGTATTTTTAATTGCCAATATACCTTTTCAACCGTCGATGTTTCAGAGAAAGTTAGGACATCAGCGATGGACGAATCACTTGTTACACTATATTCCATCTTAACCCATAAAAGAATGCGATTGCTAATCTATGACTTCTAAGACTTGTCTGCTGGACCGGCAATTCAGAACAAAAACTGTGTTACAACTATGGATAGGTAGCGGGCGGGTAGCTGGTGACACGGTAAATGTGTCACGCAGTTGGTATTTTCATTTACAACAGTTACTGTTTTTAGGCAAATACGAAAGTTACATATATTTATCTAAAATAAACTTCAAATCACGTTGACAAAGTGCGCACATAAATAATGACAGCGTTTTTTAGTCACATGAAACAAAATCAGTGTTAGATTGTAGAAAACAACGTGCGCGGTTTACAAAACAAAGAACGGTAACGCTTATCGACAACAATAATGCGCATCACTATGCTCGCCCCTAAGGCCCGTGAGTGGGAGAGAGAGCGAAATACTCCGATGATTTATGACCCAAACTGCACGGACAAAATAATTCTAGTATAGTATTACAGGAGTCGCAGGAAGATTAATAATACGCTTGATTACTTGTTGTTTGCTTTACTAGTTCACAACACGATTAATCATTCAATAATTATAGCAATCGTTTTTATAATATCGCACAATGGTGGCAGCTTATCCCTACTGCCTATCAAAACTGAACTTAGCAACAGTTTGAATGTGTAAAAATTATACAATCCAAATACTTTTATAATATGAACATAAGTTAAACACTGTTATAAATATTACTGGTGAGTGAATTAATTACGAATGTTTAGAAGATGAAATCACTTTTATAACATTCTTAGTAAATATCTCAAATTCTAAATTAGAAATAAACAGAAAATTATCAATGATAATTATTATGACCATATAGTGACTTTTAATCTATTTTGTATTTGATAATTAAAAAATTATTTTTAAAACAAAAACGATTATACAATTATCATTTATAACGATTCATGATAGAGATTATGTAACAATCACTGATAACAATAGCCTTCTCGCCCGCTTGCTGCCGACTAAAGAAGTTACGGAGAATTGACCGTAACTTATTGTGCAATGTATTAATACCGTAGTGCCCATCTTGTTGTATAAGTACATAGAAGTCTTGGCTACTAACCCGCCTGCCAGGCGTGCGACCATACCCAAAATCCCCCATCATTGCCTCATGCAATCTAAGGGGGAGGCCTATGTTCAGCTATGCAATTTTTAATAGGTCGTAATGATGATGATGATGATGATGAAGCTTTGAATAAGACTAAACTAAATAAAACATTTTCGAGTTCGTCTTTGGACTTCGCGTTGAATACAGATAACGAAATAGCGAGGACAGTGAGAGACATCTGCCACTGCGGTCGGCAATCCGTCTGCCAAGCGATTATGGCACTTCATCCCTTCTATTAAGGTGCTCATGTACGGACAATCCATAAACTAATAAGGGAACCCTCGTCCCGTATGTGTCGTAAGAGGTGACAGAGGGAAACAAACAAGATGGACACCAGCGTTTGCCTAATAACAACTATAAAATAAAATCTTCGGTTGTCGAGTGTGACATCTATGGAAAATAGCATACCAGCATAGGGGGACTATGAGGCAATTTATGAGGGAGGCTGTGATGTTCAGCAGTGACTTTAATGGGCTGTAATGGATGGATGTGTAGAAGATAATCTACCAGGAGCACATGACCCACAGCGAGGTGAAATTTTCAAATCAACTAACATTACAACTATGGCAAATATCCCCCCTATGAGGCAATTTATGAGGGAGGCCTATGTTCAGGAGTGGACTTTTGAAAGACTGCAACGGAGG